TGTGTGTGTGTGTGTGTGTGTGTGTGTGTGTGTGTGTGTGTGTGTGTGTGTGTGTGTGTGTGAGTGTCATCTCATCATCAGTCTTGTGTTTATGTAACTGACCCGACTGACCAGAGTAAAAAGCAGGGCCAGATTATCACGTCTAGTTGGCTTCAGATAAAAGCAACTGGGCTCATTTTCATCTAACTTATATGATTTTGTACAAGTTTGTTTAGGTGTTGATGTGTGTTTGGAAACAAAAAAATAATATGAGTGATTTATTGTTAACTTTTGATCAAATTTGTTCAATTCTTTACATTTAGAATGAAAATCAAGAATATAAATGCCATGCAGTTTTGCTGATTTAGCAGCAGAAAGCAGCAGCCATGATTCTAACATTATTCTAACAGATGGAGTTTGAGCTCCATGCTGCACCGTTTTCTGTTTCTGTAAGAGCAGATAAAAAAATCACTGCAGTGGGCCTTTCTGCAGCTGACAAACCTGCAGGTTTATAACAGCATGAATGTGCCTCAAAGGGCAGATATTGTTGGCTCAGCCTGCACCATCATGCGACAAGTCCTCCACAGTGATCAGAATGTTAGAGCAGCACAGCTTGGGTTCAGTCATCAAGACAAATCTCAAACAGAAAAATCAGTTTCCGAACAAATCAGAGATAAATACCTCCCGCTCCTCTGGTTCCTCTGTGGGGGTTTCACGCTCCACAGGCTGCCTCTGGCCGTGGATCCACCGGGAGGAGTCCCCCGTGGACTCCTGCTGCTGAGCAGAGCAGAGTCCCACTGGAGCCGCTCTGGTCTCCACATGGGCGCGGGAGCGCGCGGCGGGGACGTGCAAATCAATTTGTGGAGAGGAGTCAGCTTTCAGAGCTGTGTGAAGTTCATGATAAGCAGATCAGCCTGCAGTTCAGCTCTGACTGACCGTCAACAGATTTAACAGTATTTAAAGTGGAATCTCCCTTTTTAAATATATCTCCATAATTTTTTCTGAAACAAAAAAAAAATCTAAATGTTTGATTTTGTTTTGCTGTAAAACTAAAATTTCTAAAGAAAAGAAAAAACCTCTTAAAGTCTGATCATCTTGTTTGAGTCTTGTTATTCTGTATTGTCTGCCCCCTGCACACACACTGGTCTGAAGATGCTTCACATGCCTCTGGTGTTTACTCTGCTGCTTCCTTTCTCATGGGAACCATGAAGCAGCTTATTATAAAAAGACATAAAGGAAGTTCCTCTGCGGTGTTTTACATCATTTTAACAGAATTTGAGGAATCTTATTAGTGGCTGTGTTCACATGATTGTAAATACCATTAATGTACGTCTACAGCAAGATGCTTCTTGACTTTAACTTCAACAGCATTAAACAATGAAGGCTGAAAACTCTTTGTTGTCACAGAATCTAATTGTTTATTTATTTATTTAATTAATTTTACAATTTCTTTTCATTTTCATTATTATTGGCAAAGTCCTTTTTTTGTTGAAAATCTAGAAAACAATTTCCTGCTAAGGTCAGAGGAAATGACAGACCATTTGTGATTTAGCTTGATCCATCATTAGATAAAGATATGCTGGGGCTTTTGATCTCAAGATACTAGAACCTAATAAAATACATAGAGAAAATATATAATTGACTTAGTTTTCATTTATGCTGGTAAATTTAAATCAGGTATTGTTTGAAAAAATATTTTTAAAACTTTGTTGTGGCTTCTGGTTTTGGTGTGCCACCCCAAAGATTTTAGTGCCCCCCATTTGAAAACTTTATGGGGGCACCCTTGCATGGATTGAATGTCAATGCCCACTCAAAAAAAAAAAAAAAAAAAAAAAAAATCTGCCTTTGCAGCTGCTTTGAAAACATTTTTAAAACTCATTTTTCAACCACTAGATGACGCTGTTTCTGTCCCATCAAATTCCAAACATCAAACCGTTCTCATTTTTTTGCATTTTTATTGAGCTTTTTTACTACAACACAGAGGGCCACATACAATAAATAGAGCATAGTGATGAATCTATATTTACAGATATTCTGCTTCACACAATCATGTTGACACTACAGTAGAGGCCTACGGAAATAAATAAAAGAAGCATTTCTCTGAACAAGGGCTAGTGTGCTTCTTACTATGTCATGGCACACAGTTTTACTTACAAGATTAACAATATAGAGCACATTTAGATATGTTGAGTCGAGACAGAGCAACAGCAGGTGGTACCAAAGCGCACACTCCCTCCTGGTTCAGGTTATGAATGGAGGGTCCGTTTGGAGTTGCACAGTTCAAAGTTCTACTTGACCGGGGATGCTATAATATTTATGCACACGCTTTCTCTCATTCCTTTCTTTAGCTTTAAGGAGGACGCGTCGGTCTGATTGTTCATCAGCAATCACATAGTTTAGGAGGAAGACAATGGCGATGAGACTTTTGCTGCGACTATGAATGTTTAAGCCCTGAGATGCTGTTAATGCCAGTAAGTGCATCAGGCTGAGTGGTGCTGTGAATGATGAACATGAGTGGAGAAACAAAAAACATACAGCTCATAATTGACAATTAGAACACAAAGTTTCCAAACGTCTAATGCCATTACTTTTGTCATAATCGATACGAGACAAAAATTAAAAATGCTAAAATGAATAAAAAGTCTCAATATGCTCATGTTTGATTGATTTATCAGTGTTGTTTGTTTACTTTACCCAGAAATAGCTGATGTTTTGTTGAGATTTGTACGGTGGGGCATTAGAAAACTGCTAACATTCATCCAGATTATGTATTTCAAGATGGAAACCCAAGATTTCTAGAACTCACAATAAACTCTTTCTGACTGTAAGAACGCGGGGACAATCGTTTTTGCTGCACACGCTCTGCTTTACTTTGCCACTTGATTCAGTGTTTTATTGCCGCCCGACCTATTTGTTACCCAAAGGCTGCTTTCCTCCATCCTGATTGGCTGGTCAGGATTTTTCGTAGAAGGAATAACAGCCTGAAAACCCGTCTGCAACGTACCCCAGACTGGTGACTGCACAGCTGGGAAAACACCTGCTGAAACACTGAACCACTAAATGACATCCCCACTTTTATAAAACAACCCTTTACTCTTCTCTTTTAGAAATCTAGAAAAAGCAGCAGAAATTTGCAAATAACGACATTTTGTGACACGGAATGATTCATTTCCTCTGCTTAATGAAACACCTTTCAAGCCAACTTTTGATCAGATGGAAAATGAAAATGTGCGTGACTACATTTCTAGGAGAACAGAGCTGTGATTAAAGCTTTCAAATCTACTTACAGGTGCTGAGATTTCAAATCTATCTGTAGAAATTCTAGGCTCGAGTATTTGACAGGATGATGTCCATCAACAACAACAAGCGGCTCTAGAGGTAGTACTTACAGATATATGCAAAGGACGGAGCATCTTCATTTGATTGTAAGAAATGATTTGACGTTAAGGCTTGGAATAAAAGACTTACAGGGTGTGTGTGTGTGTGTTTGTGTTTAAGAGGTGCAGGGCATCAACGCAACTACAGGAAGTTTCTTCAACACATCTGCAGGTCTGAGCTGGGTTTCCATCACTCACAACATGTTTTATTATAGAGGATCCCCATGTTCTTTTTTTTTCTGATCTGCACTCAACTTTACTCTAAAGTAGAAACGATAGTGTTTAGGTGAAGGTTCAGATTGACTGTCTTTTCTCTCTCGTTCCTGCTGAAAATAGTTCATTTTTGCTCACAGCAAACCAGCCGCAGACCAAAACTCATGACACATGCAGAGATCTGAAGGCTTCACCCACAAAGCGACATGCACGGCGAGCGTGGGGCTTTCTTTTACAAGCTGGTGGTACACGGTTCGCACTCCTACTTGCATCGGAGGAAAAAAAATGTTGGTGACTGCCTAGACCCAGCGTGATGCCCGTCAGACCATCTGTGCGGGGGACGGAGGAAGCTGTGCATTCAGACGAAACGGCTGCTGGTCAAAAAACTACTGGAGTGCACGGCACTGATATTTACAATGTGAGTACAGAGCGATCGGGGAGGGGTCAGCCCAGTTCCAGTTCAACCACCTCAGGGGGTAATCAGTTATATCTGGTGACCATAGCTGAGGGATCAATGTAAGTTAATTAAATTAAAACAGAGGCTTATAAAATCCTTTGATGGAACTAGAAAGGACTGAACCCCAAAACTGAGGGGTAAGAGGGGCCGACATAGCAACAGGAGGGGCTTCATGTAGTTAGAAGACTACAGGGCTACGGATCTTCGTCTTCATCTTCAGTGGTGATGAAGTGGGAGGGGCTTGAGGGTACAAGGGCTGCATGCAGAATGGAACAAAAGAGGGGGGAGGGGTCCTTGGATGGGTACAGTGTTTGGTCGTGTTCTGCAAAAAGACAAAAAGTCATCATTAATAGAAAACTTCCTGCTACAAAGTAAAAAAAAAAAAAAGAAAATGCATCACTTTTCTAGCTTTTTGTTATCAAAGAACATTTTTGCTTAGTTAATAATATGTTTTATATATCATTAAACATATTAAAAAACATTAAACATATTAATTTATTTACTGTACTATACATTATATTTATATAAATGTATATGCATATGTGTTTATGTATATATGTATATGTGCATTGGTATATGTACATTATTATATATCACATGTATATAGTGTTTTTTGTTGTTGTTTGTTTTATTTATCTTTCTTTGTTCTTCTCACCCTCTCCTGTATTGAGCTGAACTAATTTTTAGAATAGTGCTGCCCACCACTGGAAACATCTTTCTCTTGCTCAATATGAGAAACTAAGCTCATTCATTTCTAAATGTAAAATCCATTCAGTCACAAGCTCTGCTAAAAATGACCTCAAACATTTAAAAAAATTAGGAAATAAACATCTGAAACTCAAAAATAGAAAAACACACAAAGAATTGCAATTTTTACACAGTTGCAAACATGTTTAACAGAAACTACAGCAGGAAAAGAATTCAAAAACCTGCTTTCAACTGTTCACAACCACAAAATATGAAGAGATTTTATTTTTTTAAAATCTTCTCAGAACTGTAAATATGTTGAAAGACACAACAGGACTCAGGTCCTACTTAAAGCTATGTTGCAGTCGATTATTTCAAATGAATCAAAAAGTATAAAAGAGTACTTTTACTTTACTCAGAAAAACATTTGTGTACCTTCTGTGCTGCAGTTGAATTTGTAGGTAGTATTTAGTTGGTTGTAATCTGTCATTTGAATTGATTAACATCTTTATGAGTGGTATTGTTTTGGGTACTGAGTATTGCATTCACCAAAGAAAAGAAAATACACCTCTTACCTCACATCTGTTATGAGATCTGGATCTTGTAATGACAAGAAGAGAGTTTATTTGTTTTTCTTTGGTGAATGCGATGCTCTTCCATACGTACAGAAGACATTTTGCTTATTGATGTCAGGCAATTTTAAAATAACATTTTAGAGGTCAAAGAGGCAGATTTTTTAAATTTTATTAACCTAAAATGAGAGTAGAAATTATTATTTGTTAGTTATTGATTATATAAATGTGTCCAAATGTATTTACCTTCACATTAACTTGCAGCAGTCTCCTGCTGAATGACGTAATGTCTGTTTGAATCATCCACCTCGCTGCCACAATGAACATCACTCCTGTTAACGCAGAGACAAATTACAAATCCGTCAGCTCATTTAAACTGTTTATCTGATGATTTTTCACTCCTAATGGACCCTTCCTGACATCCTCACCTGTTATCATTTATGTCTCTGGTTTCTTTGATGCTGTTACCTGTTGGAAACAAAACGAGGGATTAAAAAAATATTCAGACATACAGTAACAATCATCACCTGAACAAAAAGGTAGGCATATAGAAAAGATGGGTTCAGTTTTTGTTTTGTTTATTTACCATTGTCAATGTTGAGTGGGTAGGACTCCAGAATGTCTCCATTATATCTGCCTGCTCTGTAGCCCAGCGCTGTAGAAACTCTGTCAAACAACAAAAACACATTTTACGAGATGTTTGATGGTGGGCACAGACCCGCTCACCCCATATTAGCAGAACTAATAATTTGATGAGCTGTTTGGCATTTGTATTATAAACTAGTCACTGTCTTAACTTGCACTAAATAATCATATTTTATTTTCTCTACTGCTAAAACTTTAACTATATGCCTCCTTGGCATATTGTGTAAAACTGCCGTCTATGTGCAGTGATGCTTTTGATCAAGCTGTCACTGATGTGTCACACTGTTTGTTAAGAAAAAAAACAAAGTCCGCACTTAAAACTACTGTAAAAAGTCAGGGAAAAAATCATTTAGCATTTTCCCAGCATCTTTTGCAGCTGCGATGTTGTTCAGTAACAGAAAAGATTTCCTGAGTTTGTTTCAGAATTTTCAAAAAGTGAAACAAAGACAACATCTTTGCTTTGATCTGAGTCATACAATTTTTTTTAGTGTTTATTGTGTTTAAATTCAAGAACTTAATCTACAGAAACATGATTTCACACTGTACTTTTTTCCCTCCCACGTCTGCTGTCCTGTTTGTCAGCTGTAGCTCCGCCTCCTGGCTGTATCACAAACAAGGGCAACCATTACCCAGCATGCAATGCACCGTGATGTAGTTTCTATTACCTGTTCTCTCAAATTTTACCTCAAAAAGAGTTATAAACACTTTTATTTGTGACCTATGAAGGATTCTGTGTTGTGTTGACTTTGTCACATTTAAGTTTGGTTTGATATCTGTGTTGAAGTTTATTTATTTACTGTAAAACTGAAAGCTAGAGGAATAGAGAGAGGAACTTAAAGGCAGGTATGTTCAAAGACAAAACCCAAATGCATTAGCACATTATACTTGTTGCCACATGGTGGACTAAATGTCAAAATGTTAAGTATTAGCAGTTTAGCTCTAGCTTCTGCCATATTTTTTTTACAATTTAGCTTTTTTTATCCGCTCTCGGAGGAGTAAGACACTTTTTTCCTTCTCTCCTGTCTTTCCTTATCTTTCCCTGCTTTGCCGCTTGGAGCCTCTCTACATTTTTCATCCGAAATAAGAACTTATGGATATTTTTATTTTTATGGATTTGGTTAGCTGGTCTCTCAATAAAATTTTTGGAACAAAGTTTTTTCTTCTTCCATGGGAGGACATGTCAAAGGTGGGACCTCTGTTCTTCTCTGTTCTGGATAAATATTTGGACTTCGATCACTGGATTCTACAGATTGGTTTGGTGGTCTCCTGGTGTTCTACAAATCAGCTGAACTCACTTACTCCTCTGGCTAATAAACTTGCTCTATGCAGAGGTTTTTCATAAACACCATAGCGTGTCACAGTGTTAATATAATATGATGTTTTTGCTTTTTTTCCTCATCTTCCCTTCTCTTGTGTGTTTTTCAGTTTTTCTTTGTTTCTAAGATGGCACCACAGCAGGCAGCCTGTTACTGCAACTCCGTTTTGAGCTGCTGTAATGTTCAAATTTCCCCACTGTGGGATCAATAAAGTTTTATCTTATCTTATCTTATTAGTGGACCTAAGAATTACATGTAGTGTTTTAGGTGTTAGTGAAGTTAATAACTTGATTAGTTGTGCCCATCACTGGAGATGTTTTAAAAACATCGCCCTTTAAAAACTCAAATGTCTGCCAACAGTGATGAACGTAACAGCATCTCTTAATACATCACTATGGAAAGAATAACTGCTCAACAACAAAACAATATATCAACAACAATATATCAGCCTTTAATGAAATCTTGAAAAAAATTTCTCAAATATCTCAATCCCCCTAAAGGCCAATGACATACTCATGCCATAAACAAATTCAGAATACTTTCAAGTGCCTATTGTTTATTTAGTTATTTTTTTTCATTCATTGATTTATTTATTCATTTATTTTTCATTTATTTATTTTTAATTAATTTTATGAACTTATATACAATACTTATACATGATCTTTTTGTTAATGACTTTTATTTTATTTATATTACATTTTTACAGTTGTATTTAAAATTTTTTATTCAATAAATTTTGTGTACATTACCCTATATTTATTAATTACCAATCCTCAAATACTGGTATTTTGACTAATATTAAGACCAATCACATTTTGTTTTACTTTACAGCTCTGTTTATTTATTTATTTTTACTTCTCCTTTCTCTCTCTGTATCTTCTTTTCGTTTGTGTTGGTTCTTTGCTTTGTTATAAAATGTTTTGTTTAAAGAAAATGTCTGCCAACAGTAGGTTTTATTCAAATGGGTTTTGAATAATTTATTCCTTGTACCACAAACAGTGTAAACAAGCTTTATTGTCATGGAAAAAAAATAAATGAATTAACTCACGTGTTGCTCTGGACGGAGTTGGCGCTGCAGTTGACGCTGGAGGAGCTCTTCTGTGTCCCGTTGTTCTGGAAGAGGGCGTTGCTGTAGGCGTTGGCGTACTCAGTCGCACAAATGTAGGAGTAGAAAGGATTCGTAGGAGAGCAAACAGGAGGTTGCTTCGGTCTCACCGGTTTAGCTGTCAAGATGATAAAACTGGGTTATTCAAGTTGAGGGGCGTGAAAAGATTAAATACACAAAGTTGCGCCATGATTCTGTGCAGTACCAATCTGAGCCGCATGGGGGCGCCTCAAAGCATTCTTCGCCCTCATGGCATCTTTGATGCGATCGACCTCCTGCTGATAACGGCGGCGGTCCATCATGGCGCCCTCTTTGGCATCTCTCAGTGCAGTCTCCAGGGCCTTAACTCTCTCAGCAGTAGACCGAAGCCGTTTCTCCAGCTTTGGAAGCTCACAGCGCAGATCTGCATTGTCACGAACCAGCTAGATGGAGGGGGGACAACAAACATGGGACATCATGTAAACATGATTAAAGGCTGAACGAAAGGAAACAAACTGCTGAGAAGGCAAAAATATTATCCTAGTAATCTTGTTTAACTGCCAATGACAAAAAAAATATTTATTTTATCATAAATGCCACAGCAAATTTAGGATTTTTCTCTAGGTACGTTTATAAAACTGCTCACCTGTTTGTGAACCTTTGTAAGTTGGTCCAGGTTATTCTCAAGAAAGGAAATCTTCTGCTTCTGGGTACAAGACCCCCCGCTATCATCAGGTTCCATTTCGGAACTCTGAGGAAATAATAAAAAACAAAAACATAAAACATTATCAATCAGAAAACTGTATGATTTTGTAATATCAGAATCAGAATTGCCTTTATTGTCATTGTAATTTACATTATGATAAAACTGGATTAGCTACTCCAAGGTACTTTGTTTTGTTGACGAGATAAAGTAAAATTAAAAATAGGCACAATAAAATAAAAATAGACAAGTTAAATATAAGACAAAATGTACACTAAACAAAAAATAAATAAAATTTCTTTGTATAAAAACGAAGAATATGATTTTTTTTAACTAAATATACTTCTTAGTTATTTGAAAATATTGCACGAGAAATATTTCACACCTTTGCTATTGCACACGGGGTTGAAATTGAATGTTTTGTTTGCCGTTATTTTCTCTTGTTCAGTGCCGTGATGGCTCTTGGGTAAAAGCTGCCCCTGAGCCTATTTGTCCGGGTTTTGTGTGACCTGTACCGTCGGCCCGAGGGTAGCAGGTCAAACAGGTAGTTGCTGTGGTGGGATGAATCCTTGATTATACTGGCAGCTATAATATTCTTGTAATACATCTATTAAACTGGATGTTTGTGTACAGCTATCAAAATATCAAAGACATCAAAAGGATTGATGGTGAAGTTGCTATTTATTTCAAAATTTGACCCGTGTGTGATCGACTTCTTTAGAATAAAAAGCTTTACTTTTTTAACCCGCGACGTGAGGTCTTGAACGAACAGCTTGCGCAGGTTGTGGAGGGTCTGGAGCTCGCGGGCCTGGAAGACAGACAGATGTTGAGGAGACTGAGGCGTCAACTCTGGGTTGAGGTGAACAAACAGCTGTGCTTGTTTTACTCACGACGGTCTCCTCCAGACCCTTCAAGTCCTGTTTGGTCTGCTCATGGCGCTCATGCAGGAAGCTAACAAAGAACAACAGAACCTCTGATTATCTACATGTGGTTTTTAGTTCCTTCTGCTGGAATTCACGCAGACGTTTAAAATAAAATCATCATACAATTGTCACTCAAGACCTCCTCAACACTTACGAGAGCTCCTCCAGGCGCTCGCTCTTGGTGCTGTCCTGACTCTTCAGGCGTTCGAAATCAGAGCGCACCTGAGCCAGCTCCAGCTCCAGCTTGGAGTTACGACTGGAGGTGAAAATACAAATGAATAGGTATAAAGGGGAAAGAAGAAATTACATAAAACCAAAATTACCCAAAGTACTGAAAGCTAATGAATCATGGGGGAAACATCCCATTGAAGTCATTTATGTGGGAAAAAAATAGAAAGGTAGTGACAGACTCAGTGAGCTCATCGATGATCCTCTGCTTCTCGTTGATCTCATCCCGCAGGCGGGCGAGCTGCTTGTGATGGAGACGTTGAGACTCTCCCTGCTGACGAAGAGATTTCTGGAAGTGGGAAAAGCGAGCGTATTAAAAGATGCTGAGAGATGCAGAAACGTTAAAAAGGAAACAGTGTTTTCTACCCATGCATGAAAGAGCTAAATAATAAACGAGGAAGGAAAGAATCAAAATAAGTCAGAGCTGCATGTTAATGTGAGGCAACCCGTACCTTCAGGCTTCCATCCTCAATCTCACCCTTTTCTCCATCTTTCTCCTCCAGGGTGGAGTTATCTGGGAGAAAGACATGAAAGAAAAACGTTCAGGGACAAACTGCACAGCACCTTGAATGTTTTGTTTTTGCCACAGATCATTATTTCTAGAGATTTCTCTGAGTGTTATGCGCAGCACACCCTGGTCCTGCAGTTTAGCCAGTTCTTCACTCAGGGAGTCGTGGCTCTCCTCCAGCTGCCTCTTCTTCTGCTCCACGCTCTGAGTGTACTCCGTCAGAGAGCGGATCTTAGCCTCGTGCTGCACAAACAGAGGAACTAATCAGAATTAAAATAGTCCTTCATCTTTGGTCTCTTTTTATATAAATATGTCCTCTTTAGCTCCTACTTACAGGGCGCCAAGTGTAAAATAACAGGTTAAAAATAAGTCACTAAACATTTTCATTATTTATCTCACTTTCTGAGTGTAAAACCCTCATGTAAAAATTTAATTTTATTGTTGTTTAGCTCATTGGGCCTCATGCAAGAACCGTTCGTACACACAGATTTGTTCTTAAGTTGTGCGTACGAGTGATTTAGYAGAATTTGTGGCATTCACCAATGTTTTCGTATTCTACGATTTTTTTCAGATACGAACAAAATTCACGAGTGGTCCAGACCTGTCGTATATTTTATGAGAAGTCAGTCTGCTGTTATCCAGACGGGTTTTCTTCATTAATAACTTTATATTTCGTTAGTTTGAAGATATTTTGAGTTGAAAATAAATCACACTCCGTAATTATGTTGACAATAGGCTATTCTGCTTGAATTAGAGTTATAATTTTAAATGTAATAATTTAGACTAACAATATAAATTGTCCGTCCAGCTGGCTTACCCGCTATCGGGTGCGGGGGCAGCAGCAGAGAGACCCCGCTCTCCCCAGCGACACTTTCCAGCTCGTCCTGGGGGACTCCGAGATGTTCCCAGGCCAGAGGGGATACATAATCCCTCCAGCGAGTCCTGGATTTTCTCCAAAGTGCCAGACTTATTTTGAAAACATTTTAAAATGCTTATTTCAAACCCACATCTGAGACCACCTGCAACCGTGCAGCGCGCGGTGGGGTGGGGGTGGGGAGGGTGCGCAGCGCTGCGGCTTCTGAATAAATGAAAATAATTTAACACAGTTGTTTATACTTTTAGCAGCTCTTTTTATTCCACAGCTGACCTGCTAAAAATGACAGATTTTCTTTTCTGGATCTCTGACAGACGGACTTCAATCTCTGAACTCGTAAAGTTTTTCTTGTTAGTTTTCGCTGTCATTTTCATGAATGGACACTTCCTTGTGTCTGAGGCAGGAAACATAGCCTTATATGGTGTTTTTGGGGTGGTAATTATGCTAATCTCCTCTTGCGTGCACGAGCAGCTGGATAGAACAGGTGTAATTTACGCAGCTCATTTACACACTTTTCCTGAAGATAGAAGAGTTTGTTGAATCTGACGTGACATGTTCGTACGAACCCTTTGTAGGAAAAAAAGTAAGAGAAATTTAGGATAAGAATACGAACATGTTCTTGCATGAGGCCCATTGTTCTTATATTTTGCTAATTTTTACTAAATGTTAAATTTAAACATTATATGTGAATATTACATCCTAAATCTAATAATGTAAATGTAAATCTAAAAGTTACATCTTAAACGTTGCAGCTAAATGATAAAACTTGCATTTAAGAATTTCAGAATGGAACGCAGCCTTTGCTGTTGGTGCGCACAGAGCCCTATATAGAGATACTTAAATGTAAACTTCAACATTTAGGATTTAACATATACATTTAGATTTAGAATATAACATTTAATAAAAATTAGCAAAATGTAAGAACAGTGAGCTAAATAACAACAAAATGTTAATTTTTTTAATTGAATTTTACACTCAGTAAGTGAGCTAAATAATGAAAATGTGTTACTAGCTTATGTAAAACATTTTATTTTACACTTGGTGCCCCATACCTACTAACATGTATATCCATTTTTACTTACACCCCCTTCCCTTTATGACTTTGACCCCTTGTACTAATTCTATCTCCCTCACCTGCGAGATGAGGAGGTGGCAGGAGGACAGCTCCCTCCCGGTCTCCTCCATCTTGCGGTGGCACTCCAGCTGCATGTTCTCTAGCTGGCGGCAGCGCTTCACCATGCTCTTCACCTCCGACTTGATCTTACTGATGTAGAGACGAGCGACGGTGAACTCCTCCTCGATGGCGCCGCTGATCTCCACCGGCTGTGGAGCGGAGGAAAAAAAAAAAGATTTGTCATCGTTGTCTCACCCAGAAACACCATGGTTCATCACGTAAGACAGCCTGAACTGTCAGTCGTCTCCTCATTAACCCTCAGTGCTCACCAGCTTTATCTCCCCGTTCCCCACAATGGAGCTGAACTCGCTGAGGTCCCTCATGAGCCCGTTGAGGACGTCTGCGATGCGTTTCCTCTGCTGACCGCTAACTTCCTGCATACGAGACAGCTCTGCCTCCAGCTCCATCAGACTCGCCTGAAAAACAGAGAAATGAGACAGAAAAAACATCTGAGTCTCAGTTTGAGGTTTTCTCAGGATGAAAATAATAAATTTGTTTCTTTATACTCATTAGGATACATAAAGTCAGTGATTTTAGAAGAATGTCTAGATCTTTGAATAAGGATGACTTGGTATGATGATATATTTCTGCTGGTCTCTGTGGTGCAACAAGCAGCTCAAAGCATCCTCCTGTTCAACCGTCTGTCTGTCTCATTTCACCCAAAACATCCCTCCTTAAACGTACCATTTTCTGGGCCAGTTGGTCGGCCAGCAGCTGGTTCTGCAGACCCTTCTCCTCCACCTCCTGGCTCTTCTGGTCGTAATTAATGGCCAGTTCCTCCAAAGCCTGGAGCACCTCCTTCACCTCAGCCTTGGCACAGTCACTCTCCACCTGGAGGCGGCCGAGCTCTGCCTGGACCTTGTCCCCGTCTCCCCTGGAGGAGGCCAGGAGCTGAAGAAAGGAGGGGCCACAAAAATATAAATAAGCAAGAAGATAAAATCAGAAGAAATTGTTATTTTAACAGTGTTTGTTTGTTTTTTTTCTCACTTCGTCCTGGTCCAACATCTGCTGCTTCAGTTTCTCCACCAGCTGGCACTGCAGGTTGATCTCATCATCCTGCAAAAACACAATATAAGAAGTAAAACCTTACTGTCTACATACATACTGTACATTGTACAGCATATAAATGACAGCAAAATATATATATTGTTCATAACAATGTCTCAGTTACAAATCAATTACGTTACAAAATGAAAAAAAAAATTTAAAAATAAACCAGAAAAAACATTTTTTGTGTGTTTCCACCTTGTCATCCAGCTGCTTGTACAGCTTGCGGATCTCCTCCTCGTACTTCTGCCGCTCCTCCTCGGAGATGCGGACCACGATGGAGGAGGTGTCGTTGTCCAGAACCGGGGGGCGCTCCTCCACCGACTCCAAACAGGTCACTATGTTGGCCGTGGTCTGCTCCGTCTCAGGCACGTCCTCTCCTGGGAGGAGGAACGAGTAGAAAAAGGAGGCACAAACTGATGAGATCCTTTGCCTGGTGCGTCTGAACCGAAGGAGCCGTGAAGATTAATTAAAGGTAATATGTTTAATGTCACCATTTCTCCAGCGGTTGAGCTCGGCCTCCAGCTTCTGAATGGTGTCCTTCAGAGTCTTGTTCTTCTCCTTCTCCTTCTCGTACTTTTTCTTCCACTGCTCCGCTGTCAGCTCCAGGTTGATGGAGGCGGTGTTCCTGATGGTCTTAGCGCTGTGACGAGAAAAAGCAAAGAAAAGTAGAGGAGAGGAGGGATAAACGTTAGTTATTTGTAAGTTAATGCACGCTGCTAAAGATTAGTTCCTGGTTTGTTTACAATTTTACTAATTGATGCTTCCTTTCTGTCAGTTTTCAAATTAATGTTAGGTAGCACTTTACACTAAGGCTCCCCTTATAGATGGCTTATAAATAGTTTATAGGTAGGTTATTAATTCATCTGTAAACACTTTATAAAACTTTAATATGTGTTTTTATGCATTAGTTAAGGATGAGAAAGAGACAACTGTCTGGTTTCTTGCCAAACAGGGAGCCAAATCTGTTCATGTACATATTCCATGTAAAGATGCTTACAGGTTTCTACCTTGTAAACACAATGGGCCTCATGCAAGAACATGTTCGTATTCTTATCCTAAATTTCTCTTACTTTTGTTCGTACAAAGGGTTCGTACGAACATGCTACGTTAGATTCAACAAAGTCTTCTATCTTCAGGAAAAGTGTGTAAATGAGCTGCGTAAATTCCACCTGTTCGCATCCAGCTGCTCGTGCACGAGGAGAGGTTATTTACATAATTACCACCCCAAACACGCCATATAAAGATATGTTTCCTGCCCCACATACCAGGAAGTGTCCATTCATAAACGACATTGCAAAGTAAAAAAGAAGAACTTTACGAGTTCAGAGATTGTAGTCCTGCTCTTGGAGATCGAGAAAAGAAAATTTGTTCTCTTTAGCAGCGTCATGTGGAATTAAAGGAGCTGCTTAAAGGGATGAAATGTGCTGTTAATGCTGTGTCTCCTGTGGGTCGTTACAGTCATAGAAATAAAAATKTAAATCATATTCATCTCTCTCTAGTCCAGCTCTGAATTTCTTTGGTCAAATATTTTTAATTTAAGTGTAAACAACTGTGTACCGTGTTTACATTTATTCAGAAGAAGTGTGGTTGCGTACCGCTACCCGCCTGGCCGTCTCTCCCCTCCCTGCGGTCGCAAGTGTCAGATGCGGTTCTGAAAAGACGCATTTTAATACGTCTCCAAACTTCAATTAATGCATAATTTAAGTTGTTTTTTAGTTTGAGATCTTCATATTAATATTGTAGTTTTATACAACAGCGTCAAAAGACAATTTAACTTAATCTAATCAATTTATGTCGTTAAAATCTAATTCCATTTCAAACAGAATAACCTACTGTCAACATAATTATGGAGTGTGATTTATTTTCAACTTGAAATATTTTCTAAATAACAAAATATAAAGTTATTAGGGAGGAAAACCCGTCTGGATAACAGCAGACTGACTGCTCGTAAAATATATGACAGGTCTGGACCACTCGTGAATTTTTTTTTTTTTTTTTTGGTGCACCGTTCCTGGAGGTACTGCAATACCAGGTCGATGCTTGGAGTGGACGGAGCAAGCCCCTATTCCATCTCCCTGTTCCAAAAATCAATTTAATATATGGTCCCCGGGTAGGGGACGTATCAGATATTCAACTGATAAGAACAGATACTACACTTGATCTTGGCCAAAAGGCAGAGAAGCAATGACCACTCGTGAATTTTGTTCGTATCTGAAAAAAACCTTAGAATACGAAAACATTGGTGAATGCCACAAATTCTCCTAAATCACTCGTACGCACAATTTAAGAACAAATCTGTGCGTACGAACGGTTCTTGCATGAGGCCCAATGAGTTGGAAACACGTATTTGACATATTACATAGTACTGTATTACTGCATTATACATACCCACAACTATCAAAGGAAGCCTTATTGTAAAGTGTAAAACTGTACACTACTTAAAAATCTCCCTTATGACATTCATACACGTTTATTAATCATTAATATATAGTGTACCTACTGTTTTACACAAAAAGGCTCCCTTTGATAGTTGTGGATATGTATAATGCAGTAATACAGTACAATATTATATGTAAAATATGTGTTTACATCTCATTATTGTGCTTACAAGGTAGAAACCTATAAGCACTTTTACATGTAATGTGTGCATGAACAGATTTGGCTCACTATTTGGCAAGAAACCAGACAGTTGTCTCTTTCTCGTCCTTAATTAATACATAATAAACACATATTAATGATTTATAAAGTGTTTGCAGACAAATCAATAACCTATTTATAAACTATTTATAAACTATCCATAAGGGGAGCCTTATTGTAAAGTGCTACCTAATGTTATAATGTGTTTCCAAAGATGCATTCACTGACTCTGATGTCACAACTTTTCCCTCTTTATGCGTAATAATGATTTCCTAAACTTCTACCGTTGTCCGAACATCAGGGTGGATTTGGTTTCTCCCTCGTTGTAGCTGGAGGGCGAGCAGCAGATGAACATGGTGGTGCGGCAGTTCCCACCCAGCGAGTCCTGCAGGATGCGGGTCATTTTGCTGTCGCGGTACGGAACGTGAGATTTCTGCAGGAGATGGAAGATCAAACAAGAGGAGGAAGAGAAAAGAAAATAAGAAGACAATGAAATAAAGAAAAAATATGTTTTCTTGAATTGTTGGAGATTTTTCAGTAAATTAGAAACTTCTTTGTGTCAGGTGGCCTCAAATTGTCTGTAGCAGATTGTGCTGTAGCTAACTAATCTGGATCATTTAAAGTTAAAGATATAAAATAAAAGATGAAAGTACTGAACATATCTGTAAAATAAAAAAGACACATCTAATCATCCACCTGTAAATTACTACATTTTAACAACAAAAATATGCTTTAAGCTTTTAATGGGGCTTAATAATTTCACTACATAAACTAATGGCTAAAGAATAAACTGCAGTTTTTCATGTCTTCTTAACAAAATAACAGTTTCTTAACAGAAACACAGAAAACCAAAGAAAGGCTAAACTCACTGTTCCTTCAGCCAAGGCAGAAATGACATTTCCAAGAGCAGAAAGAGACTTGTTGATGTTTTTCGCCTCATCCAGGACAGAACCTGCAGCTCCGGTCTTGCTGACCTGTAATCCGTGCAGATCAAATTGTGAAATGGTTTCACGTCTACCGGCTGACTGAAGCGCTCTCAGAGTGTCTCCTACCTTCTCGCTGCCAGCCAGGTCCACCAGGTAGAGCTTTCCACACAGTTTCTGCTCCGTCTCCACGTGTTCCTGTTTGATGTTGATCAGGAAGATGCTGTGGCTGCGAGAGCTGTGCTCGTTCATGTCTGCGCACAAACAAACAACTCGCTCATCAAACAACTGATATGAGCTATAGGAATTAGACACTGATGTGAAAATATCATTTTTAGTCTATGTCATTCCAACATTTGACACAAGGAAATATTTTGAAATATGGGAATTATCCTTAAAGTACCTGTGACATGCATATCCATGAAATACAAAAAGTCAAAGAAAATATATTTATATTTAAGAAACTTGGCATAATACACATGATTTGACCTGTTTTGTCACATAATTGGCAAATTTTCTTTTGAATTTTGCTCAGCTAAAGTGAAACAGGAAGTGACATCAAAGGGGAACTCTTTGAGAAAGAAAACTTCCTGGTTTTTGTTTATTGAAACATTATTATTTGAACTCTGACTCTTTCTCACCTCTCTATGATAGAGATTAAAATAATCTAAAGAAGCATCAGATTCTTCTCTACAGTCTGTGTTGTTAGTCATTTTAGCAACACTCTGTTTTTATTCAGACATTCCCCTTTGACATCACTTCCTGTTGTTTCACATGCAAATATCTCGACAACTGTTCGTCTCAGTGACGTGAAATCTTTTTTACAATGTTATCAATGTTATCTTTCAAAAAAAATCATTATAAAAAATGATGTCACAGGCACTTTAAGATGTGACTAAAAGCAAAAAAAAATCTTATTTGAAAAGTTAAAAACTAAAAAATAAACTAGAGATATGATGCAAAGGTGTGTTCTTAAAGTGCATAAACAGTGTTGTTTTCGTTAACGATGACAAAGTATTTTCATGGATGCCCCCTTTTTTCATGATGCATGTCAGTGCTTCTATTCTGAATAAAAGCCTGGTGCATGTAAACACTTGTTTGCACAAGTTTAATAGTCTACTAACTAAGTTTAGGACTGCATGATGTCCGTTTTTCATAAATAAGATGCATCTTCATCGTCCTGGCTGACAAGTTTGAGTTGAACATGTCTGTCCCCTTTATTGCTTATAATATTGGGCATGTGTGTTTTGTATGTTCATTGCACTTTAGCAAATTCTGAGAAATAAAGCCACAAAGTGAGCATATTTTTGGGGGGCATTTTTAGAGTAACATAAATTCACAAATGTTAACACAAATTACTCAAATTAATTTGTAAAGACAAAAATGTTGTCTTTTTTTAAGACTAAAAGTAAACAATTTTTAAGCTTTTGTCGACCAAAACTCGACTAAAACTATTAAATATAGAAATGACTAAAAGTGACTAAAACTAAGGAGTATTTTTGTTCAAAAGACTAAGACTAAAATTAAAATGGCAGTCAAAAACAACACTGTGCATAAATGTAGAATCGTCTGTTTTGACAAACGTAAAGAAGATCAATAAACACCTGCATCCTTTCTGTGACTCTTTTTAATCTTTATGTTCTTGGAAACTCAGACTTTAGTTGATTATTTGATGAGGTCAGCATCATTGTAAAAGCCACTTTTGAACTAAAACATACAGATTAGTAATGTTAAAATAAACCATGACATTGCATTTGGAATCATTTACCGTATTTATTCATGTATAAAACAATCTCAAGTATAATACGATCATTTTTTGAGCTAAAAAGGATTAAAAATCTAATTATCAATAACTCCTGTACAATACTACTCCCCCACTTAATGGATGATTTTTAGGGTTAAATTTCTAGTATTATACATGAATAAATACAGTGGATCTTTTGGCATGAAATCATACATTTAAATTTAAAAATGCTTCTAGTTGTGGATGAAATTTTAAAAAGAGTTTCTTGATTAAGAACTAATCTAATATTTAGAAAGGTCAAAAGGAAAAAAAATGTATAGGTCCTCTGGACGGGTTCTTCTTTAATGAAACGTTTCTTCTCTCCTCCAAGAGACTTCTTCAGTCTGAGAGTTTCAGGCAAAATTCAGGCTTTTTTTTTTTTTTAAAGAAGAACCCGTCCAGAGGACCTATACATTTTTTTTTCCTTTTGATTTTTTACCTGGATTATTGAGATGCATCAGGACATTTAGAAAGGTCAATGTTCAGAGGGAAAAAAAATGACATAATTTCACTGAAAGCTCAGATTTTCTCCTACTTTCTATGACTCTTTGTCCTGGTCTAATTTTAGCTCCTGGATTACCGACACAGCAATATTTCTGCTGACATATTGTTCAGAGATTCTTCCAGCTCCGGCTCAGACTGGGTCAGGTAACTGTTTGATTTTAATGCCTCACACTCCCGGCCCGTCACTTTAAACGTTCTGCATTTATTAGACAGAATATGTTGCGGAAAATAAAGCGTCTCACATCATGTAGATGGTAAGCAGTGCTCCGATTAGCTAATGGGGGAAAGTTCAGCTTTCTCAGCGGCTGATATCTGAGGGCATCTGCTCGACGTCTGCAGACCGGAGCTCCATTAGGCTGCTATCAGCAGGCCGTTCTGCAGCTGGGTGAGTCAGCAGGCTTCAACTGGAAACAGATAACGCTGCGCTGCACGGGAATGCAGCTTTCAGCAAATCTGGGCCACTGCTGCTGCCTACGTACCCTCGGCTTCTTTAGACGAGCTGCTGGAAAGGAAAAAATCTGTTTTTCACTGTTACTATTCTATTCTAAATTTGAGCCGGGTATTTAAAGGGTGCAGCATCCTGTCTAATTTATCTTAAACACAACTTCTGACTCAGGATTACTTTAAACGCTGAATGCGTATGGAGGTAAATTTGTGTTTTTATTATTCAATCAAACAAAAAGCATCTTCAATC